ACAGTCGATACGCACCTACTTAATGATGCCAAGAGATCTCACATCTAAGCCCAAGATGGAGGCCCTTAGTCCATCTCCAGGATCACCACCTGCAACTCCCACAAGGTTCTCGCTGGTCTCATCCCACGCATCGGAGGCACAGATGGCGCTAGACGGGGAGTTACATGCCATACTCCCAAACCTCCTCACCATGGCCGACTTTGAGGCCCTCTCCGACTGTCTAAGCCGGATACGAGCTGATATGGCAAATATGATCACCAGAGTCATTATCACTGAGACCGAGAACAGGACTCTCCGCACCGACCTTAACTGCAACCCATGAAGCGGTGACAGGTTGCGAGACAAGTATGGCCCACTTAACCTCCTGGGTGCGCGCCCTCCACCCGCACCAGGAAACCACCCCACAGATAGATATAGTATGTTGCCTAGAAAATTTCACCCTGAAAGAGGACATACTACGCACCACCAGCCACATGGGCACAATACGCATAGACGGCCAAGCCATTACGATATACCAGGATCTCTCCCATTTCACACTACAGGCACGGCAAGCTCTCCCAAAGATAAAGCACCGCGCTTACAGCAGCAGTGGCTTAGTATCCAACAGCTTAAAATACATAGTAAAAACAAAGAAAAACGTTACCTGCGCTCTGGCCTAAATCCCCATGTGCATTTGAACAAAAATGGAGGCTCTTTAGTTCTATTCTAAATGGCCATTTGAATATATAAGCTCACCAGCCACGTCAAGGCAAGCCTCAATAGGTGAGTTCCTACACTAGCCATTAGATATGCTGATATCAGCCAAGAGTCTCCAATGAAACAGGAAGTCACCGCCCGGTGACGACAGCACTGCAAGCAGTGGGAATCACGTACCGCTGGGGATACCCCTTTTCCCTGTCAGCCCGCCAGGGACAGACAATGTACACAATCAGGGCCCCAGCCGATGTCCCAGGATTTCAATGCTCTTTAGGCCTTCCTCCTCTACAGGTGCCAAACTGACTGGCACACTAGTTACTACTGCAACTCAACGGTCCACCACCAGGCATAACCCTGCTTAATACCCAATAAGATACCAAGGGATGGGGGTAGAGAGGGGGGGAGGGATAAACTACAGAGTGACCACATGGAATGAGGGAGGCGGACTGGGGACCGGGGACACAAAGCGGTGGCGGGGGGAGAGAACAGGTGGGAAATGGATAAACAAGAGGAGGAAAATATGGATGGAGGGGAGGAGTGGGCAAGGAGAGGGGAGGGGGGAAGGGGAATTTTTTTTTGTGAGATGGGGGATGAGGTAGGAACGAGGAAGAACAGAAGGGAAGCATTGAGAGGGAGACAGGGAACAGGCGACCAAGAGTGAGGGGAGGGAGCAAGACACATCTAATGGAGAATAGGAGACGACCACAGATAGAGGTAAGGAGGGGGGGAAGAAGGGAACAAAATACACAGGAGACATCGCCACAAAATGCAACCTAACGCAGCTTCAATGCTTAACCTGGACGCCTTGGATACTATACATCGCTTAGGCTAAGACACACAAGAAAATGCGCCGATGAGAGGGGCGAGAAAAGGGACGGAGGGGGGACCCGGGTGTGCCAGGAGGGCGACAGACTTACCCCTCTCCCCCAAACCGTACATAACCTCACCCATCCACCCCCTTCCTCTCCCCACCTTAACCCACCAGTACACTTCCCCCAGGCCCGCAAAGGGAGGGCATAACCACACACCCATGAAGCGAAAGAAGAAACTGCAGGGAGTTAACATAAAAGAACCAAACGCGGAATAGGAGGAAGAGCAAAGGGACATAAACCCCAGAAAGGGAGAGACAAAACAACCACACACACTATGGAGCACGAAAGGAAGCAACAAACTTAAGGAACACACACTGAGCAAACAGCAGAAGCATAGTAATGTAACAAACACCCACAGACACACACTGACTCACACAAGCAGGGCCGGATTAACATAGGGGCTGATGGAGCTGCAGCTCCAGGCCCATGGAATAGGCCCATTGATTTTTTTTATTTTTTTTTTACATTTTTTTTTTTTTTTACACACTACTCTTAGGGATTCCACCTGGCTTTTATTTTATTGGCACAGCCAGTATTTGAGGCTGCCTGGCTGGTGCCAATTGCAGTGATACTGGCAATACAAATGCTGGTATTTTTCTCAGTATAAACAAGATATTACTATGCAATACCAGCACTGGCCAGTAGGGGTCGCTGTGTGTGGAGACAGGCAGGGATAGGACGTTCCAGCATATCCCTCCCTGCCTATCTATACTCACTGATCTGCAGGGGTGCAGCTACAGAGAGTCCAGACAGCAACTTCCACCCTGCAGAGACAGCCTACAGCTCAGGGATGTAAGGGATGGGGGAAAGGCTGCGAGGAGACATACACTGAGACACTAAGGGACACTGGGAGACATTATGGCAGACACTGAGACACTAAGGGACATTGGGAGACATTATGGCAGACAATGAGACACTAAGGGACATTGGGAGACATTATGGCAGGCACTAAGGGACACTGGGAGACATTATGGCAGACACCGAGACACTAAGGGACATTAGGAGACATTATGGCAGACACTGAGACACCAAGGGGCACTGGGAGACATTATGACAGAAACTGAGACACCAAGGGGCACTGGGAGACATTATGGCAGACACTGAGACACTAAGGGGCACTGGGAGACATTATGGCAGACACTGAGACACTAAGGGGCACTGGGAGACATTATGGCAGACACTGAGACACTAAGGGACACTGGGAGACATTATGGCATACACTGAGACACTAAGGGACATTGGGAGACATTATGGCAGATACTGAGACACTAAGGGGCATTGGGAGACATTATGGCTGACACTGAGACACTAAGGGACATTGGGAGACATTATGGCAGACACTGAGACACTAAGGGACACTGAGAGACATTATGGCAGACACTGAGACACTAAGGGGCACTGGTAGACATTATGGCAGACACTGAGACACTAAGGGGCACTGGGGGATATTATGGCAGACACTGAGACACTAAGGGGCATTGGGAGATATTATGACACAGACACATGGGGACACAGTGTCCCCATGTCTCCCAGCCAGTGTCCCTGGTGTCTCAGTGCCCCCTTGTCTCCCAGTGACCCCAAGTCTCCCAACCTGCCAGTGTCTCACTGTCCCCATGTCTCCTAGTGCCTCCATGTCTCTCATTGCCTAAAGTGTCGCAATATCCCCATGTCTCCAAGCTAGTGTCCCTGGTGTCTGTGGCCCTGGTGTCTCAGTGTCCCCATGTCTCAATGTCCCCCAGCCAGTGTCTCTAGTGTCTGTGTCCGTGGTGTCTGTGTCCCCATGTCTTCAAGTGTCCCTTATTTTCCCATTGTCCCCATGTGTCCCAGCCAGAGTCCCCTAGTCTCCCAGTGTCACTTGTGTCTCCGTGTCCCTAGGTCTCCCCATGTCCCCAGGTCTTCCTAGTGTCCTAGTGACATGGGGACCCTGGGATACATGGGGACACAGGGAGACATGGGGCATTGAGACACTGTGATACATAGGATCACTGGGAGACCTGGGGACACGACACTAGGGGACACTGGGAGACATGGGGCACTGAGACACTGATACATATGGACAAATGGGGGCACTGAGTCATGGGGGCAGTGGGGGCACTGGGAGGAATCCATCTATACAGCAGAATCAAACTAATAGTTTTTTTGGTGATTTTACAGCATTTTTCTTATGTCACTCCTTTTTTTTCCAAGAAAGGTGGCAACCCTAACTACTTTTCACATACTCTTACTTAAGTATGGAAACTTAAGTGGGATGTATGGGAACACAACTTGTGTGGACTAGCTGACAATGAATATAGTTAAAGGGACACTATAGTCACCAGAACAACTACAGCTTATTGAATTTGTTCTGGTGAGTAGAATCATTACCTTCAGGCTTTTGCTGTAAACACTGTCTTTTCAGAGAAAATGCAGTGTTTACATTACAGCCTAGTGATAACTTCACTGGCCACTCCTCAGATGGCTGTTCGAGATCCTTCACACTAGATTACATGGCTGCCTAAAAATGCATCCAAAACATTCGAGTCTCCACCCTCACCACGTACTACAGACACTGACTTTCACCTCATAGGAATTCATTGATTCAATTCATCTCTATGAGGAGATACTTACTATTAGCCAGGGCTGTGTTTGAATCATGATAGCTCTGACCCTGATCTGCCACTTGTAGTCTCAGCCAATCTTATAGGGGAAGCACTATGATTGGATTAGGCCACCACTTCTAATGATGTCAGCAGACTGCTTGTTTTTATGGAGTCTAGCAGCATGCAGAGTTACATAGGGCTTGGAATATAGTAAAGATTTTGCTATATTTATGGAGACATATGAGGGCCCAGGGGGGCTAGATGGTGGTGTTAACACTATAGGGCAGTGATGGCGAACCTTTTTGAGCCAAGAGTACCCCAAAACGCAATACATGCCAACTTTTTTTCTCCGTAAAGTGCCAACACGACAATTAAACCCAAATACTGAGGTTTAA